TTAACTTAAACTGATTCTGTTTAATCTAAAATACTAGATTCTGAGGTAACTTAGTTAATTTGGGGGAGTTCTGGTGCATTGAATTTAATGTTTGCCCAGTCATTCTGCTGTGGTAATAAAGCAATCAATTATGGACTTGAATGAGTTACCAATAAAAACTAGTTGACTATTTGTATGAGTCCACCTCACCTTTTAAATGTGGCAAAATAATACGATTTTGAAGATACCTTTAAAAATGATCAGTTTGGGAAAAACAATCAATGAAAACTACTAGTAGAAAATAGTATTCTTTGGGTGAAGTGAGATAAATTATAATGAAGAGATTCTTAAACTGGCACTTGAAACAGAACCAAATATTACTTTTCTTTAATGTGAAACTAGCTCTTTGAAGGATGGTTTTGGATATGTAAGTGGGTCTGTGTCCACACATAAAGGATATAGACTACGGAGGACCGCTCACCGTTGTGTGTGGTGCCCCTCTTTGTCTCTAGACTTGATGTCTTGGTTATTTGCTTTCTTATGGGCTATTGGCTCTGTATAACACATTGAGGGGAGGGAATAGTGATATATGTGATTTTTGAGAATGCTAAAAAAACTGATGTTGGCATCTTTTAATTGCATCTGTATTTGTTTACTTTCAGTTTGATTAATAAGCTTAAACCTGGCGTCATTAAGAAGATCAATAGACTGTCTACACCAATAGCAGGATTGGTAAGTAGTAAATTACCTTCACAATTAAATTTATTGGTCTTTGAAATGTAAAGAGGTGGCATTGGCAGGTTTTTGTATCTGCAATTACCATTGAAATTAGGTTATGGTTTTTTTGTTGAAGCAAAGTGTGTTTGGTGATGACTTCCTTTTATCTGTAGTTCCTTTCTGTTTCCCTTTTGCCTGGAGGCTTTTATTTTATTTTTTAATTGTTTGTTTTGATTTTTGTGCCTTCAAACTTCATATATTTACATTCTTGGCTTATTTCTTCCACAAATTGCATTTGCTCAGGGTCACCTTCTTCTGAAGCTCAGCCCTATGTGAGCTGTTTGCTGGCTACCACAATGGTGGCTCAGACTGCGAGATGTTCACCAATTGTCATGTTTCTGCCACATGATGCTTGTGCATTGCCCTCAGCCAGCACATAGACCCTAAGTGCATTTCCAAAATAGTCAAGGCCTGCTAGCTCTGTTACTTTATGTAATAGGTTTCCCACCAAAGTCCTGTGTGAGGTTGCACAAGTCTCTGTCTTCCTCTTTGCCACAGTAATATTACCCATAAAATGAGCGTGATGGTTTTGTAGATTCTTTCTAGCTTTCAAATCAGGATTTTGTGTATAAAATATACCCCACACTGTCCCAAGGTAGCTACTCAGATGGGGTAAGACATTTCAGAGGACAATAATAGTGTGGGGCTCTGCCTGTGGAAATAATTTACAATCAAATACAAATGATGGATAATTTTTAAAATGTTAGAAATCCTTAAAAATCAACGCAATAATAGAAGTAAGTTAAATCAACTTCAGAGCACTCTGAAGTTTAAGATAGCTAATAATTGGAACGTAAACACAAACCTTACTATTTTTAGACTATTCATGCTGTTTATAATGCATTCAGGAAATTTCTGTTTGACCATTCATGTGTTTACAGATGTTAAAGGCATGAGTAATTAAAGTTAGCAATACCAACATTTCTGGATTTGCAGAAGTTACAAAAATGTCATTAAATTCTTGATAGGGGTGTTGGTTGCAGAGTGTTCCTCAGAAAATATCTGTCTAGGAGAGAAGGAATGAAAAATTGTTAATAATTTTATTTCAAAATAAAATACACATAAAATTCCCAGAGCAACTGGGCTCAAATATTAATTCCTTCCTACCTACCAAGATGCCTCCATTCTCTATCTATCATTAATAGGCAGCTGACCTAATAATTTTATTGGTTTCAAATTTGATTAGGTTAAAAATATTATGTGTATATATGTGTGTGTGTGTGTATATATATGTATATACATACACATAGAGCTGTACAATTTAAATATTTCTACCCAACTTTTATCCTGTACTTTTCTAAAAACATTCTCATGCCATGACTCTATTTGTCCCACCCCACTTACCCCCTCTTCAGGAGGAGAGGGGAGGTTTGTAGGACCCTGGAGCTTGTGAGCCCTTTCCAAAAATGGGACAACACCTAAGATTGGTGGGTTCTGTGTGTCTATGTACACATACACACACACACACACACACACACACACACACACACAATTTTCTACTGGTAATACAGTGAGTCAGAAGAGGTTTGTTATTTAAGGAATAAAATGAAAAAAATTTAGTTTTTGAAGTCTTTTTAAAATTTTTTTTGAGATGAAGTCTTACTCTGTCGCTAAGCTGGAGTGCAGTGGGGCGATCTCGGCTCCCTGAAAACTCCGCCTTCTGGGTTCAAGCAATTCCCCTGCTTCAGCCTCCCAAGTAGCTGGGACTACAGGCTCATGCCACCACGCCCAGCTAATTTTTTTAAATTTTTTTTTTCATTAATCTTTTGCATTTTTTAGTCACTGTTTTATTTAGTTATGCTCTGATCTTTATTACTTCTTTTCTTTTTTCATTATACTTTAAGTTCTAGGGTACATGTGCACAA